TGCGTGTCGAAATCCAATAAACTGAAATCCCGAAGCCACTTGTAGCATGATGGACGTGGAAAAACAAAAGGACATAATTCCTGAGATTAAGCCATCAAGAAGAAAAAAACATCGTCTAGCACTAAGCTTAGCGTCTGTCAAAGGCACTTAAATTTGATTTATCTCTCTCAGAAGTATTTGCGTTGGCTAGTTTGGTAATTTTTCCAGATGAAAGTATTCAGTTTCTGGCTGATCAAATTGATGTGTTTACTCTACAATTTATAGCCTTGATTGCCCCCATCTAGCCAGATTGGAGTTAAACTGAAACATTTGTAAATATTTGCCTCTTTTTTATAGATATTTTTCGTCTCTAATGTGCTTTTGTATTTTCACCTCGCATAAACTGGCTTTTTGGTAAAAGTTATTTAAATGTACTTAGATAAGTTTTTGAAAAATTATTTAAATCCACTCCGATTTTGGCTGGGAAATATGAAGAATATAAGACGACACTCTTGAAGTGTTATACACTCAGACAATGAACAAAAAACAAACAAAGTCGATGACCGGTCCAGTTTTTCTGCCAAGAGGTTATTGATAATGGATTTCAGGTTTGGTTCCTTAAAGATTAAGATAAACTTATTATTAGGGAGCCAAGTAATACATTTTATAATGAACTTTAGAAAACTCAGCCCGGCTCTCCTGTTCCAAAATATCAGGCAATTTTTGACACTTATTCCGCAAATTTAGCTCCAGTAATGCTAGCAGGTAAAACATGAAGTGAAAATAAACCGGGAAAATCGAGTAATGAAAACATACGATATGATACCACATATAATGGAAGAGAAGTTGAATAGAACGAACGATCACAAGGGAAATAAAGGGACAAGACTATACAGAAAGGAAAACCTAACAGAAGGAAAGAAGTTGAAAACAGTTGGAATATAATGGAAAAGAGCAAAAACATTAAAATAAAACCGTAGAAGAATATCACTATCAGAAGATAACGATAACACAAGTAAAATCAGACTGATATGCTACAGAGGACAACGAGATAAAAAAAACGTACAGGGAAATATAATTTATTAAATATACAGGGCGATTCAATATGACACTAATATTTTAGTATAACTTCAACACTTAGCAGTTCGGTCGCGTCCACTCCACTTTCTTCGACAAGTTTGCTTTCGAAAAATCAATTTAAAGTACAAGATTTGATCTGTTTAGACTATCGGCAATAAACGTAAACTGTATCCATCTAAATGTAAAGCAACTAATAGAATTGTTGAAATAAGCGAATAGACATACTAAAGAAAGTACATGAATTAAATGAATGCATGGCATCAAGGAGTAAAATATATCCCTCTTAAAAAAACATACGTGAGGTCTTACAAAAATGGAGGAGAGAGTTAATCACGCAATAAACTGACGAAAAAAACATTCAAAATTAGTGCAGAAGTTAACAAAATGCTCAAAATGAAAAAATACCAAAACTTCAAAACAATTCACGATTCTGTCGCAATACCAGAAAATGTAAGAAAATTAACATTCGAACATACGCAAGAACACTGCAATTAGATGCATCAATCACTTATGAGCCACGTATGAAAATATTCTTACCCATAGTACATGCAAGTACAAACCAGTACAATCAATGTCAATTGGCTCATGTGTATGATACTAGTAAAGACTATATATTACTTTAATCTATCAAAGCCATCAGGCGAACTAAACCAATCTATAAGACTTCCGGTTATCGAACTCGAGGCTGCTAACTTATTTAAACTCTGGAATTATTTCCAGGATCGGAGCATCGTGGCAGATTACCGTTGCAATTACTCCGTAAATGGTTGATAGTTTAAATTCTGCTCATCCAAGCAACATAAAAAAATGCAGTACTGTTTAAAACATGTTTCAAAATGTTGACCATCATTTAAAAATATTTAATTGGACAAACAATTTGTTCAATTATGCTCAATTCATAACTCAAAAACGAGGTTCAAAGAGTGAAAGAGCGGTTTTGTGGTCAGTTCAGCCAATGGAAAATAAAAGAGAAATCAAAGAATAAACATTTTTAGCAATCACATATGCATATTTCATCATTGGGAAATTGGGAGTCAAATTGAGGTAACTGGACTATCGAACCATGAATCTTCATAAAATATAAATTTCTGTCTATGAAATGCAAGGTGTCCACAAATAAGCACCAACCAATTCTCAAAAATAAGAGGCCAATATATAAATTGTCTATGAAAGTAGGCGCTTTTTTTCTATAGGAAGTGCACAATCAAACGCTAAACATTGAAAAGTAGAAAAATTAGAATCGAAAACTGGCCCCGAAACGTATTATCTCGTATTTGCTCGTGATGCTCGTATTTGAATTGGATATTCCTTTTTTTTTATTTTAGGTCTATTAAACGATGCGAATGAACCCTTCCTTTTATAGATAGTAAAAAATGATCGTCCTTGATTTTGGACTTTGGTGGACTATAACATGATCTTCTCTGCCTAATTTTATCATGCCACATAAATAAGATTAAGCTGCTATAAATCCCAATATACGATGGTTGCTGTTAGCTTTTTGTTAAAGTGGATGTTAAAAGAAAGATATTTACTTTTAAGTTCTCTTCGTAAAATCCATCACAGATGGAAACATTTTTCGGTTTTTGAAATGGTGATTTTGATGCTAATGTTTGATTAAATTAAAAAATTTTCGTAAAGTACAAATAATTCCTACTATGAGTTATTAACTAAAAACATAAAATATAGCAGGTAATTCCGCAGTAATTGCCCGGAAAAAAGTACTTCGGTTCCGTTAATCAGCTTTTTATGAAAGTTTTAACAAATTATGAAAGTTCTTCGCTTTACGATTTACACTTTTTCTTCATGTGGATTTTTAATTTCTGCGACCTTTATGAAGAATTATCCATAAAAATGAGTTTAGGACTTAATTGAAGCAAGTTCAGGCTTAGTTTTGTTAGTCATATGAACGTAAATTCGTTAAGCCAGGAATTAACGACACTTTCTAAACAATGCGCAAAATAGATCTTGAATCAAAAAATCAATGATTGAGGCAAAAAAGATATTGGCAACTTTTTTGTATCCTCAGCGATTTAACTAAGCATGTCTGCTTCGCTGTTCGAGCTTTGAAGAAAAATACCTTTCTTTTGTCTAGTGTCATTCTAAAACTAGATATTTATCAAAATAAAAGTTATAGAAATCGAAAAAGTAGAGTAAATATATAATATGTTTGAATTGCATTTTTATGCGAATTTAAACGTATTTCTTCTGAATGTTGGTATTAATAATTCAGCTTTTTGCTGTTTTCCTTTAACGCACTCATTAACGTAAGCTCAATAGTAAGTCTTAGTAAAAATTAAGTAAACTTTTCCTAACCACTAAGAACTTGAATGTTGTGAAATCCTGTATTGTATTGCATATGTATTGTTTTTCCCGTACTCAATCAAATTATCTAATCCAAACACTAAAAAGCATTCAGGAAAAAAACGGAAAAGGTATAGCAAAGTAAGAATAGTTTTTTAAATCATTGAAACACATAAAAAAATTTAGTGCGAAAAAACGTTTTCAATCCTCCTTATATTAAATGTTTGCTAGTGGCATATAATTTGGAATTATTTCAAAACATTTGGGCCTCTGATGCCAGCTTGCAAACAAATGACTTAAGAAATACGGAAGCAGAAAAATCAGGATTGTGCAAATTTAATACGCCTATTATTTTACCCAATTAATCTTTGATTAAAAAATTTGCCGTTTACTGTGCCGAGTCTTTATAGTTAAGTTATTCATCACTCTGAGTAAATTACTCGGATATTACATTACTACAAGCGATTGTACAATATACACATTTAATTGAAATAATCTATGAATTTTGCTTTCAACGATAATGGGGCAACTGTGGATCAATACTGTCTGTATAATTTTCCTAAATAAGTAATAGTAATTGAAGTCGACTGATGAAAGCTTGATATGTTCTTCAAAGCGGAATACAACAGTATGTATCGGATTGTCTTTACATATTGAATAAATATTCATTTTCTCAGAAACTTAGACCTTAATTTTGAAACCCGCGTGTATTTTGTTTGCCCAAAACAGTATACCTATGTGATGACCTGAAGCTGATTGGCCCATTTAGATGAAATAATGGGCTGCTTCCACATTTTTTATCATTTTGTCTGAAATGTTATGGTTTTATATTGCTTTATTTTTTTGCATTCATGTGTAGGCAACGTTTGGGGATAATAATCTATTCTAAACATGTGGAACGCAATTATCTTTCAGTATCGAGAATATAAGCCGCAGAACACTGTTGGTACCTCGTAACCCACATGCTAATCTCTCCGTATCCATGATATTTAACAGACAAAATACATAAAAATTAATAATTAACTGAAAATTTACCAATTTAATTTTAAAAAGTATGTTTACCATATAGTATAATATTATTTGCGTAAAAATGCATTTATTTAACTAGATGTTTTATGTGATCAATCACCAGAGGTGAATTCTAGTACAATAGTATCTTAAATCAATCTTAAAACCGTGGTTAGCATCTAAACTCCCTTTGAAGCTTTATACGAGTTTTAGAAGAAATTTTTTACTTTGAATTGCAAAAATCTATCTTCAGAAAAGAACTCATTTGCAAAAAACAGTTTTAATACTGTCTTATACTTGAACCACAAAATTTAGCAAAATCGAAAAATTGGAGCATTTAGAATTATTTATCTTAGCATCCATCTTGCTGCTTTTGATGTGTTTTCCTATTTACTTATAACCGTTTTTATAGATTTTTTGTCAAGTTAATTATTTAGTCGCGAAGAGACATGCACTGTACTTTTTAAAATGTGCTAAACTATAATATATGACGAATTTCGAGATTGTTTTTACCTGGCGAGTGATTTATTCCCTCTAGGCTATATTCCCTCTATAATGAACTGATTACTGGCCAAAATAAGTTAGCATAAAAAGAATACAAAAAGTTGTAACTTACATTTTGATTTTTTCAGGTTGCCATCAGACATTCGTGAGCCGCCTTGGAGGCCCCATGAACGGCAATTTCACAAGTCCCGAGTTTTCGAACCCTCGAGGTCTGACCATCAGCTGCGTGTACACTTTCCTGGGAGGTCCAGGACAGAGAGTCCAGATCACGTTCGACACCTTCCGATTGAGAGGTTCGCCGCCAGAGTAAGTGTTTTCGCCTCAAAGTGGAGGAAATGCTTCAATATCGTCGTAAAAAGTTTCTTTGCATCCATGCCTAGAACAATGAACTGTGCAAAGTGTTTCAAGCTGGGTTTTGAAATGAAAAAAGTCCAAAAGACAAGCAATTTATCGTTGGAAATTCTCCAAGATAATTTTGAAGTATTATTTTGAACCTCTTGAAACAGTTTCAGTAGCAAATGATTACTTGTTTAGGTAACATTTGAAAAAGTCCGCATAAACTGAATACACTTTGGCAACAGTAAGAACTTCACTAAGAAAAGACAATTGAATAAATTATACAAACATATTCATATAAATCCTTGGAATAAATGGGTTACAAGTCACATAGATGCTCATTTTCTGAACTTGTATACACAGTAAACAAACACACGTTATTACATTAAAGTGAATGTATTTATATAGAAATCGTTTTATCTGGAAACCTTCATGCATTTCAGCACTATTATAAGGAAACGCAAAAGAAAGGGGAAAAATCTTAAAATTCTGGTTAAATCGAAATGAGTCAAGTTAATTTTTGGCCAATTTTTGGAAATTTTCAGCAAAATAACAGTATTTAAAAAATTTGCTCACAATGAAATTGATTCCAATTTGAACACATAAATTATCCATTTTTGCCAACTTGCCTTAATTTCACAAACACAGTGATGTTTTCAAGTAAATTATCGAACATGGACATAATACCACCATTTAATAGAAGTTCACATACCTAGAAAATGCAGCATAGCTCTTTCAGAAATATTATATAAAATTACCAAAAAAAATCCGATTCAACCCGTACATAAATTTTTGTTTTTCGTACATTAATTTTTGTAAAGTTTGAAATTATTATCTGCACAACGTTTGCCTTAAACGAAAAACAATATCAAATTAAGCTGGCTTAATGGGCAATTACATATCAGTGTTGATGTTTGCTAAATGTGCACTAAACACGACATGGCTTTATGACCCATTTAGTTCAATTGTGTGCAATCGCAACGTTTTACTTCCCACCAATGTGCAAACGATTTATATTAGATTGGGGAAACCAGCTGAAGTGTAACAACAAACTGAACTAATGGAAACTTTTATACAACTGTTACTGTTAAATGCTTTCCGATCTTTTTAGTCAGCACGTATCAAACTCATTTTAAGTTTCTCCAAGTTTCAGACGAAAAACTAAATTTTGCTCATTTCTAAATTAATGGCAAGAAACAAATTAAAAAGTGAAAAACCTTTTCGATGAAATATAGGTCTTCGAATAAGTTACAATCAATATATAAGGCAACTATCATTGGGAATAAAAAAAAAATTTCGTCCTACTTTAATGGGTTCTAATGCTACTTGCTTCACAACCGTTTCAAAAATGTGTTTTATACAAGAGTTTTATAAACACTTTGTCCGTTAAAGGCTCCCCAATGTTTTAAAGATATAAATTCTCTAAATCGTCCAATAACTGAGCTTTCAGATAAAGTTTAGACAACTTTATATATTAACTTATATACTAAAAATTCCTACAAAAATTCGATCGGTTTGTGAGGAATTTTGCAATGCAAAAAACAGCTGATAAATTTAATTTCGCTTTTATCAGCGAACAAGTCAAACTAAAGAGAAAACTTCTGCTTAATATCAACAGAAATACAATGGAACCGGTTAGTTAAAACGCGTTAAAACAATGTTTCTGTAACCCACTTTACTGTTTTAAACTACCACAATTGGGATGCATTTGTACGCATTAAAGCTTATGTTTTTAACACTATTTGATAAAGAGCAAAGAAACATATTTGTCAATGGTGTGACTCTTAAGCGTCTATAAGGTGAAATGTTTAAGAGTCATTTACTATTAATTTAAAAAAATATTAAAACATTTATTTTGATATTATTAATCAACTAATTTGTTAATTGGTTGGAATGGATATTTACTTAGTATTTTTCCTATTATGCTCGTCAAAAAATACGATCAGAATGAACAAGAAAATAATTAGTTTAAATCTGAAAATTAATCTGGAAATGTAATTTTTTGCTTAAGAGTTTCAAGGACCACAAAATTTCAAAATAGTCATCGCATTTCGAACATGCATGAAGTAAATAATTTAGTACAGTGTTTTAAACGAAATCGGTCATTATCAAATTTAATAGATTATATTGTAAAAAGTAGAAGGGAAACATTTCATGTTAGAAACTACGATTTAATTCTAGTAAAAACTCGACCAAACTTTTTTTTTGGAAAAACATATCACACCAATAGAGATAATAAAGAGCCCACGGCGATTAAAATTATTAAAAATAAGCTAGGGAATAAAAAAATAAAGTTGGGAGATCCAATAAATGCTTCTATAAAAGCAAAAGTCTAGGCGACCCAATTTAATGCGCCTTTCCATGTACTTATACTATTCAGACTTTGAAAACTGTCCGTTTTACTGCCAATTTAAATTGAGATTAAAACTTCCATTTAACGAAACTTGAAAATAATGCTGCTAATTACAGCAAAGCTCTTCGGGGTCAAAGTTAATTAAAGCTTCGAGCAGCGGAATGTAGAAAAGCGAGCATTATTGGAAACAACAGGTCATTAAAGAATCAAAGTGCAGATATCGCTGAGACATTTTGAATCACTTTTAGTTGCTTAAAGAGTAGGATTATTTATGTTCTATTAATGTTCTTCTGTAATGGAAGCGAGCTGGTCTTAAAGGGCAATGCTGTAAGCGATTTATGGACGTTTGGTGATGTTACTGGCTTAGCGATAAGCTGGCAAACTCGACGAGCATATGTCGTATTTCATCAAGGATGATAGGGATTTAAGGGTTGTCGGACGCTTTTATGACAGGATATAATGCGATTTCACACCACAATAATTACGGAATTAGATGATGACAAATCAAACTGGGGAACAAAAATATTAACCAAAAATTATCTGGATAACTTGCAAGACCAGCCGTCTTTAGAACTATTGCAGTTAAAATATCTGTAAAAAACTTTTTGTAACATGTCGAACCAGTTTAGAAGGATTCAAGCGTCTATCTAATCGGCCACTCAGTTTTAGCTTGTATTTGGATTAATTTCAAAGAGTGTTGGATTAAAAACAATAAAATAATTGCAGATCCAGCGGTTTCTTGTTGCACTTCTTCAGCATTAGATAATTGAAAATTATACACAAAATGAAAAAAATTGAAACAAAGATGGGAAAACCTTTGTCAAACTACACCAATTATAAGGCGATAGTTAAAATCTACTGATACATTTTGCAAATCAAATATTGCTGCCCTACTATAAAAACCTCGCCATATCATTGTTTGCAAGTGTTTGAATGGCTTAAAACTAATCAATGTCTAAATTTAATAAATTTATATAGATGTTAAAATAGATAAGTTTTACTCAAAAGGTTCTTAAACAAAATAGCATTTATTGCAAATTATTAATTAAAATTGCAAATTTTTCTGAAAACTACTGGTAGATTTTAAGAGGTTTTCACAGTAAGACGTCGATACATTTTTAAGTAGTAGAGGTAGAGTCACATTGTAGCCAAGTTAATTCAACCAGCACAACATGGAACAGCGAGAAATATAATTGTTTATTAATCTAGTGATAATTTGTATTTTAGTTTATTAATTATTTGGACGCGTCGTTGAATTAACACTAATAAACTGTTTTGACTTGACATGTATTTTTGTGTTGCCTGCTGCATCAGTGGAGCCGCAGTTGGGGACCTCCCTACGTGAGTACCTTTTCTCCCCCAATTTATGTCCATTTTGTCAATCGTTTCTCTCTGACTATTCGCTTCCTGTCTGCATGAAATCCTTCTCATCTCCTCATTATTCGTTATAAAATGTTCGACTAGTAAAATATTCACCGCTTTTAATTTTTTAAAACTTTATCTTGTTTTATAAATGCAAGTTGGACACCGAAATAGTTTTGCAGTTTCAGCATTTATTTGTTTTTTATTTAGAAAATCCGGGAGACACCAAATTCATTGATGATAAAGATTAATTCTGTCAGTTTTTCAAACCCAACAAAAACTTGGTTTTTTATGTCTTTAAAAAATCACTCATCAATAATTCTCCTGCTGCTTCTGCTTAGTAGTTGCATGATTAGATATTTTACACATTCAGAATATTCCCGTATTTAAGTGCTAGTGTATGTCGTAAAATGTATTGCAATATTTGTTGTTATTTCATATGAAAACATTTAAAATCAGTAGTGTAGTTTTAGTGCACAAACAACTGTTTGTGGACTACCAGAAAGCCTTTAACAGCGTTGAAATCTGGTCTATTCTAACAGCAATTAAAGACGCGAGAATTGACTCGAGATGCTCGATGATGAGGCAACTTTCCACGTAAAAATAGACAACGATCTTAAAACAGTCAGAATATCACTTGGCAAAGAAGCAACTTTGGCAAGCTGTTTAACCTTGCTATGGAAAATGTTTGTAAGAGGTTCGAATGGGAAAAGACGGACCTAAACATCGATGGAGGATACCTCAATCACCTCAGATTTGCAGATGATATAGACTTGATGATCACCAACATTCAGGAACTGAACAACATGCCAAATGAGTTAAACGAGCAATCCAAGAAAATAAGCCTAAAAATGAACCTCTAAACAAAACCAAAATAATGAGCAAAAAGAATGTAGCATCACCATAGACAGCGTCATCATAGAGAATGTAGAACATTACATATACTTACCCAGATAGCACAAAATATTACATACATATTTAGGAAATATTTATTATGTTTGCTAAATATTTCAGATCAAAAACAAGTATTTCTTAAATATTTTTTTTTTAAATATTTGTTTCTTATATTTAATTAGCATGAAACAAATAAGTTATTAATAATTTTCTTATTACATAATACTTTTTGTACCTATATATA